GACAAGTGAAAGTGGTCTTTGGTTGGTCTTCAGGAGCTAAGGCTATTTGATTGTACCCTGAATAACCATCTAGAAAACAATAGTATTCCTTACCAGCCAATCTATCTAACATCTGATCAATAAAAGGCAAAGGAAAATGATCCTTCCTAGTGGCCTTATTGAGTTTTCTGTAGTCCATACAGATTCTCCAACCAGTGACAGTCCTTGTGGATATTAATTCTTTTTTCTCATTCTCCACAACAGTGATCCCACCTTTCTTAGGGACACACTGTACTGGGCTGACCCAGTTACTGTCAGAAACAGGATATATTACCCCAGCATCCAACCACTTAATTATTTCCTTTTTGACTACCTCTTTCATGATTGGGTTCAATCTCCTTTGCTGCTCCCTAGAGCTGCTGGTTGGGTCAGTCAACAGAATTTTATGTGTGCAATAAGAAGGGCTAATACCTTTTATGTCTGCTAAAGACCAACCTATAGCCCTCTTAAATTTTTTTAAAACAGTCAGCAACTGTTCTTCCTCTAGCACAGTGAGCAGATTGGACACTATGACAGGCAAGGTATCTTTTTCTCCTAGGTAAGCATATCTAAGATGGTTAGGCAGAGGCTTAAGTTCTAACACAGGGGGTTCTTCAATTGAAGATTTGGGAATTTTTAATCCTCTCTTGGCCAATTCTAATGACTCAAAATTTTTATTTTTCCAAACGACATCAGTTTTAGAATTAAGCCACTTAACTACTTCCCCAGACTCAGTTTGATTGATTTCTAGACCCTCAAAAACAGAATTTTGCAAAGGGTCTAATGAGGACTCATGCAAAAGTTTATCTTTGACTACACAGTCAATGATATCTAGTCTAGAACATTCCTCAATGTCTCTTGGGTATTTCATGGCTTTTAAAATATTAAATTTTACTTGTTCCCCATTCACATTCATGACCAACTCACCCTCCTTAACATCTATGACAGCCCCACCAGTGGCTAAGAAAGCCCTTCCCAAAATAATTGGAACCTCTCTGTCTTCCTCATAGTCTAAAATTATAAAATCAGCAGGTAGAATGAATTTATCTACTTTCACCAAAACATTCTCTACTTTCCCTTCCGGATAAACTAGAGATCTATCAGCCAACTGTAATGTGACAGTGGTGGGATTAGGTTCTCCTACTTTCAGCTTTTTGTACACACTCAAAGGCATTAAGTTGATACTAGCACCTAAATCACACAATGCTCTGCCTATGTAGTGGTCTCCTATGGTACAAGGGATTGTAAAACTTCCTGGGTCTCCTAGTTTAGGAGGTATCTTACTAAGAAGATATTGACTGCTCTCTTGTGTAAGAGCAACAGTCTCAAACTCTTCTAGCCTCCTTTTTCTTGAAAGAATTTCTTTCATGAACTTTACATAAGAGGGCATTTGTTCCAATGCATCAACAAATGGAATGTTGACATGCAACTGTTTTAGGAGGTCTAGAAATTTCCTAAACTGATTATCTTGCTTCTGCTTTTGCAACCTTTGAGGAAAGGGTGGTGGAGGTCTTTTTGAAGTAGCAGGTGTCTCACTATTTGGCTTAGGGGTCAAACCCTTTTGAGTAGGTTTTTCAATGGAATTATTCCCTAAAGGCTCATCTATAGAGGGCTGAGTGTCTGATTCGACCAAAGTGGGTGAAGAGTTATTGTGCACAACCCCTTGGGGGCTATTATGAACAACAGAATTCTGAACAGGTTCAGAATTTGCCTCCTTTTCTTTCTGCATGTTCTCCCCTTCCTTTTTTTTTAATGTGGAAGGTCTAACCACAGCTTCTGGCTGATTTACAGATCTGCCATTTCTAAGCTCTATCATATTGCATTGCTCTTTATTTCTCCTAGGCTCTTCAGTGTTACTAGGCAAGGTACCAGGAGGTCTGGTATTCATAGTGTTTGCTAAATGGCCTAGTTGGGATTCTATGTTCCTTAGGGATGCTGGAATACTTTGCACAACAGCTTCCAAACTATTTTGCTTGGTCTCATTCTTAACCAAATATTCCCTTAACAAAGCTTCTAAAGAAGAGGATGGAGCAATGGGCATCTCACTAGGTTGAACAACAGCTTGCTGCCTAGAAGTTTGTTGGTAATTCTGGGTAGGAAAAGGTATTTTTGTTTGAGCATTAGAAGGACCAGCTTGCTGCCCCTGCCCTTGAAAATATTGAGGCTGTTGGTTCTGCCTCCATCCCTGGTTAAAGTTATTGGGAAAAATATTTTGGTTTCTATTTTGGTTTCCCACATAAAACACAGATTCTGGGTTGGATGGGCAGCTATCATACAAATGGGGCCCACCACAGCAAACACAAGTTACACTTGTGTTTATTGCATTAACTTGAGGTTGGGTCACAGGTATTTGAGGTGCAGGAACTTGGGATTGAGATAATCTTGCCTCAATGGTTTGTCCTTGGGTTCTCACTAAATTGGACAGTGCATCAAACTTGGCTGAAAGAGCTGTTACAGGGTCTATCTCATGTAAACCAGCCACTCTCCTTGGCTGATTTCTCTCTTCAGGCCATTGGGCATAATTTTGAGTCATTTGTTCTAACAACTCATGGGCTTGGTTAAAGGACATAGTCATAAACATGCCATTAGCAGCAGAATCTGCCAAGGCCCTGTTTTGAGTATTTAGGCCATTGTACAGGGTTTGTAACACTGCCCAAGAGGGCAAACCATGATTTGGGCATTGCTTAAGAAGGTTCTTGTACCTCTCCCACACATCCACTAGTGTCTCTCCATCCCTCTGCATGAAGTTAGCAATATCACCTCTAGTTTGCACTATCTTATTAGAGGGGAAAAATTTCATAATGAATTTCTCAGCAAGGGTGTGCCAATTGGTTATAGAGTTGGATGGAAGGGAGTTCAACCATTCTTTGGCTTTGTCAGCCAGTGAATGAGGGAAGAGCTTCAATCTTAACACATCATCCGAGATGTTAGGATTCCTAAAAGTGTTGGCCACTTCTATGAAATTTCTAAGGTGCTTGTGTGGGTCTTCCATCAACAACCCATGAAACTGCCCCATGTTTTGAAGCATGGTGAACATCACCGGTTCTAATTTGAAGGGCACTCCATTCACAGGTTGGGCTATGCTTGGATCTAACTCATCCAACACAGGTATGATGAAGTCCATCATGGACCTATCATTATCATTTATAACAGGTGGTTCCCTTATCCTTGCAGGTCCTCCTACCCCATCATTCCCATTTACACTTCCTAAATCTTCCATTTCTTCAATTTCTAGAAGTGGAATTTGCCTATGTGCTATCTGGGCTCTTCTCCTAACTCTAAATGTCCTCTCAGGTTCAGGGTCAATTGAATATATGAACGGGTGTGGAGTTGCACTCATGCACCCCTTTTAACTAAAACAGGTAAACCTGGCTTAGCTAAAACACCTAGATTACTAACCAACTTTTATGCAGAACAAGCAAAAAATAAACACACAAGAACCTGCAAGCAGAAAAGTCCCAAGACAGTTCACAGCCTGACGGCTTTATAAGGCAGTAATAACTCACCCTCACACAGGGTGGAACTAATAATTAAAATAAAAATGAAACTAAGAAAAATTAAATGACATAAAATAAACAGAATATGAACAGAACAGATTTTAAACTACCAATATTCAAGATACTATAGAACTAATAACTAAACAAAACTGACACAGAATTCAAATGAGCTACACTAAAAACAGCAAAAAGAAGCAGTTCAAAAATAGCAATCACACAGAAACTTGATCATATACGCCTCGATCCCCGGCAACGGCGCCAAAAACTTGTTGCCTTGCTAACAGTTGTGCAAGTAATGCGCGCAAGTATACGCGACAACAAGTAATATAGGGCTGTTATAAGTCCCAGTTATCGTTCCCACAAGGATCGTTGGCGTTTTGAAATGACTAAAATTTGTAATTGCTTAAAATTGAGTTACTATTTGAAAATAAAAGATATAAAATTGTAAAGTAAAAATAATTTAGAATGGACCTAAAACACTACTGTTCACTTTTCTTTTAAAATTTTCTGAATTACTTTCTTAAGTTATAAAATAAGAATGAAGAATGGAGCAACTTAAATGAAAGATGTGACAAAAATTTTGAAAACGGAATAGAGATTGAAATATGAAATAACAAAGGAAATTGGAAAATCTGAATTGATAAAGATGTTTAAAAAGGTGGGTTGAGTTTTTGGCTCTCCTTCCCCACAATGCTTGAAAAATAATTTGATTAACAAAAGGCTCATCCTAAGATTCTCTGTTAACAGGACTGTATTGTTAATTTTTAATCTCTTAAAAATTATTTTATCCCAAAGTTGCCCACTTCCATATCTCTATGCCAAGTGGGATTAGGACTCTTGAGATTCAGGTCCACTATTACATGAGGACTCATTCATTTCTGAATTGAGATCCCTTAGATGATTTCTCATCTAAGTTCATGTGTCTAATGCAGAATCCAGAATTAATTGTTTCTCAACAACTAAATCCTAACCAAACATCTGACATTTGGCCAAAATGCAGATAATTTTAAACATTAGAAACAACATTAAACAACTGAGATATAAACATTAAAACCAGGAAATCAAATATTTGACAAGCACTGAGGTTTGGGTATCACCTAAACCCAACCTCTAAAAAGTTAGCCACTATCCATAGGGGTGAGGCTTACAAACAGTAACAGAACTACAGAATTCACAAAAAATAAAAATTCTAAAAACTACAATTACAGCACTGGCCTAACAACCGGCAATCTCAGTGCTGTAAAGACATGCATCAAGTTCATCAAAATGAACCATAATCTCATTACAAAACAGAAATTAAAAGAAACTCAAAATTGTTCAGAAAACAAAAACTAAGAAAAACCATAAATCAGAAAACAGAAGAGCTCCTGGATGACTCACTCCTATATCCCTTTTATAGGGCTCTTTGCACACTATCCTCTTTTTCTCCAGCTCAGCAATATGACGCGCTGCTGCAAATGAGTGGTCCCCACAGTGCTCCACTCCTCTGCTCTTACAAATCGGATGGAATTGTCGTTCCTTCAAACCGTACACTGACGTGTGCTCACAATCGCTCCAGCATCCACTAAGTAACGAATCTTTGTTTGGCTTTTTCTGAATCCAAAATAGTGGCTAGGTTTTGGTTTGTTTGCGATATTGTGTGGTTTGGTGCGTCAATCAGGTAGAAAGGGTGCAAACGATGGAAATGGGTTGTATGAGGGTTAGGGTTCGGTTCGAGAGACAAGGTGTTAGGGTTTTTGTAAGTTGGTCCGATTCAAAAACTGAACCGTGGTGGAAAGTGATGGTTCTATATCTAGGTTGAAAATCAGAGGATGTTTTTTGGTTTACTTGCTCGATTCAGAGAGGGAACCGTGATGGAGAGCTTGAGATGGAGTAGGCTCACTTAGACGGTCTATGCTAGGGTTTTTTTCTTTCTCTTTCAGAAGACGCACGATTCTGACTTCTTTCTCTCTTCTTCTTTTCTTTTCTTTTGGGCCACTGATTTGCTTTCTCATTTCTCTATTATTTCCTTTCTCTTTCCTTGGGCTGTATCACAATTGGGCCTGAAGAATGCAAATAAGAAAGAAAAAAACCCATTAGCATTTAAATCAGAATCATCCACCTTAATTCAATTTGGGGTATCTATTAACACAAAGTGTATTCTTTTTTTTATATTTTCATATTAAAAACCATACATTGTAAGTATTATTTCATGGACTTATCACTACACATATCAACCAATTAATGATCCATCTTAATGTTCAACAGATGGTAAGACAACTATGATTAATACATATATAATGATAAAAGACCAATTTACATGAGGTACATGTGGATCTTCACATTTCAACACAAACTAGTGATGTTAACATGGGATTGCAAGGTAGCTTCATCAAGCCCATATAGCGCATCTATCAAATGCATTCGCAATGATGCAGGACCTTTAGCCATCTTCATTCCTAGCTCACCAGCAACACCAAATACAGCTAATGCTGACACTGCTGCATCTAAAGCATGGCATTTGTCAACTGCAACAAAGGCAGCAATCAGTGCAGTGACTGAACACCCACTTGCTGTAATTTTTTGCATCAATGCCACCCCATTGTGAGCACCAACAACTTGATTTCCATCTGTGACAATGTCAGTGGCTCCTGACACTGCAACTATGGCACCACTTGTTTGAGCTAATAACTTTGCAGCTTCAATTGCATCCGTTGAATTGTGAACACTGTCCGCACCCTTGACAACAGAGCTAAATTACAAAGTGCAATGACAAAATTTCATGGACTAGAAGTGAGAGAATAAATAAAGAATTTTCAGTAGAATTTCCTATGAGTCTCCAATATCCACTTTTTCTTCTTCTTTTTATAGAAAATTAGCAAGAAATTCTGAGGGCTAGTCATTTACAAGCATTCTGATGGTAACTGCAAGCGCACAATTGGAAGAATGATATGACAATCATTACCTCATAATCCACATTAATTTGGAATATAATATCACTGTTGACAAGCATTCTCAGAGATTTCAACAGCTCTATGACTACGATAATACAACCTATTAAAAAAAGGTTATTTTTATTGTATTTCATCTGAGATCCTAAGATATGTTGAGGATTGATCCAAAACTATAATTGTCTGAATCTGCCACTAGTCCACTAATATGTTCCTATTTTTATTTGTTATTTACTTTGTTTTTATTTTATTATTATTTTTGTTATATGCACGTTGTATGCAGTTATGGGTGCAGTTAGATTCCACTTTCTTAGTAAGTGGCAGTTGTATATCCACGTTAGGATTCAATCTCAGATTAGCTTGGAGTTGGTTTATCTTTCAATTATGTAAAAGGCCTACTTAAAGGTTCTATTTGTATTTTTAATACAGTGTGGCAGAGTATTTTTCATATCTGTTTTATTGCCATCATTATTTTCTCTTCATTTCTTACAATTGGTATTCAGAGCTCGGTTCTTTCTTCAACTGGGCGTCTAAGATAATGAAACACCAAAGGCTCCTTTAAATGGCAACAAACGGGGCTTCTGCTTCACAGCCACTAATCCCTGTGTTTAATGGGGACAAGTACCAATTCTGGAGCGTCAAAATGAAGACACCGTTCAAATCACAAGATTTGTGGGAGCTTGTTGAGGAAGGTGTTCTTGACCCTGATGAAGCCACTAGATTGAGGGAGAATAAGAAGGATGCAAAGCACTTTTCTTCCTTCAACAGGCTGTTAAGGATTATGGGTGCAACTTCATCCAAGGAGGCATGGCAGATCTTGCAGAAGGAGTTTCAAGGTAAGGTTATGGTAATCAAATTGCAGACACTTCGACATGAGTTTGTAATTGCAATGATGAGGACAAAATGAATCAGTACAAGAGTTTCAGAGTTAGTGAGTCAAATGCGAATTTATGGTGAACAATGTAATGATCAAACTGTTGTGGCTAAGGTGTTAAGAAGTTTAACAACCTCAATATGATCACGTTGTAGCAGCAATTGAATAATCAAAGGATCTTACTACCTTCACCTTTGATGAGTTGATGGGTTCTCTACAAGCCCATGAGGCAAGAATCAATCCACCAAATGAACAAGACGAGAAGGCATTTCACATAAAGGGGAGCCTTCAACAGCAGAAAGGTCCAAGCATGGTGGTGAAATATCTAGAAGAGGAGGAAGAACTGCAGGCCGAGGACGTGGAAGAGGTGGAATCCAAGCTATTCAATGTTTTAACGGTAAGTGTTATGGTCATATTCAAGCAAAGTGCTGGTCGAAACCAAATCAAGCAAATTATACAGAGGAAGTTGAAAATGGAGAAGAAGAAGATCACAGGTTGTTCATGGCAATGATGGAAGATCACTTAGATAAGAAAAATATTTAGTTCCTAGACAGCGGATGCTTGAACCACATGACATGCATCAAAACCTTGTTTGAAGAGCTGGATGAAAGCTATAAGAAAGAAGTCAGACTTGGTGACAACAAACGTATTCAAATTGAAGGAAAGGGCACAGTTGTAGTACGAAACAACAATTGTAAAATTAATTACTTTTGCAATGTATTCTTCGTTTCAAGTTTGTCTCAAAGACTGTTAAGTGTTGACAATTGATCACTAGTGGATATACTGTGGTATTTGATGATTCTTCTTGTCTAATTAAAAGCAAGGAGACAGGCCAAGAAGTTGAAAAAAAGCATGACAAAGAACAAACTATTTCCGGTGGACTTTTCTAACTTGGAAAGTTGTGTGATGATAGCAAAAGAAGATGCAGAGACAAACCTCTGGCATAGGACATATGGGCATCTTAACTTCAAAAGTTTAAAGCTGCTGCAACAAGCTTGAAACCTTGGAGGTATGTGAAGCATGCATTTATGGAAAACAAAGTAAGAATAGAGAAAGGCATAGAGGGCATCAACCAACCTAGAATTAATCCATGCAGACTTATGTGGACCAATGAAGACAGACACACTTGGAGGAAGTAATTTTTTCATGCTTTTAACTGATGATCATAGTCGAATGAGTTGGGTCTATTTTCTGCAGAGCAAAGCTGACGCATTTGAAGCTTTCAAGAAATTTAAACTTCTAGTTAAGAAGCAAAGTGGCAAGTATGTCAAGCTGTTAAGAACAGATCGAAGGGGAGAGTTCAATTCACAAGCACTTAATTCTTTTTGGTTTTGTGAAGATATGTAATTCACCGAGAGCTCACAACTCCTTACACTCCAGAACAAATTGGTGTGGCCGAGCAAAAAAATCAAACTGTGGTAGAGATGGCACAAAGTATGATTCAAGAGAAGGGGCTGCCACAAAATTTTGGGGAGAAGCTATTGCCACGGCTATATATTCCCTTAATATTTCACAAACAAAAGCCGTTCCAAATCAAACTCCTTATGAAGTTTGGACCGGTAGAAAACCTGGGGTAAGCCACTTAAAAGTCTTTGGATGCATTTCTTATACTTTAATTGACTCACAAATTCAAAGCAAACTTGATGGAAAAGCCATAAAGTGTGTTTATTGGTTATTCAACTAGGTCTAAAGCTTACAGGCTTTACAATCCCACGAATGGGAAGATCATTATTAGTAGAAATGTGACATTCAATGAGGAAGGAAGATGGACATGGAGAGAAGATAACAAAGGAGGCATTCATTTTGAAGAATTGGGCATAGAAGAAAAGCAATCCAATGCTGAAGAAGAGCAAAACAATGGTGATAATTTACTTCAAACTCCACCTAACACCCCAGGGAGCTCCAACATCTCCACACCAACAATGTCTTCATCAAGTAATGTAATGGCTACAGATTCATCTGAAGAAGTAGGCCCACAAGGTTATAAATCTTTGAGAGATATTTATGAAGCAACACAAGCTTTGTTTGTAGCTGATCCAAGTTGCTTTGAGGAAGCAATCACAAATACAAAATGGAAGAAGGCTATGGAAGAAGAATTAGAAGCAATAGAAAGGAATGAAACACGGGAGCTGGTTGATTTACCTAAGCGCAAGAAGGCAATTGGAGTCAAATGGGTGTTTAGAACCAAGTACAATGCAGATGGAAGTATACAAAAACACAAAGCAAAGTTGGTGGCAAAGGGCTATGCTCAACAATATGGAGTTGATTATCAAGATACTTTCTCTCTTCTTGCACGCTTTGAAACGGTAAGAACTCTCTTAGCACGCTGCACAATTAAATTGGAGTGTGTATCCATTTGATGTCAAATCAACCTTTCTTAATGGTGAGCAAGGAGAAGAAGTCTATGTAATGCGACCTATAGGATTTTTTGTTCAAAATGAAGAAGATAAAGTGTATAGGTTAAAGAAAGCTCTTTATGGGTTGAAGCAGGCCCCAAGAGTATGGTATGAAAAAATAAATTCTTACTTCATTGAAAATGGCTTTAATAGAAGCGGAAGTGAGCCCACACTTTATATTAAGAAGAAAGGTAAGGAGATCCTGTTTGTTAGTCTTTATGTAGATGATATGATTTATATGGGTTCATCAACTGTTAATGTTCTACAATTTCAAGAAAATATGAAAAAAAAGTTTGATATTTCAGATTTGGGTTTATTGCATTACTTTCTTGGAATAGAAGTGAAGCAAGTGAAGAATGGCATCTTTATCTCACAGAAGAAGTATGCAACTGATCTATTACAAAGGTTTCATATGATGGGTTTCAAAACAGCTGGTACACCAATGAATATGAATGAAAAATTGCTCTTGGATGATGGTATTGAAGAAGCTAATGTACAGCAAATTGCAATACAGAAGCTTTGTAGGTGGTCTCATTTATTTAACTCATACTAGACCTGACATCTCTTATTCGGTTGGAGTAGTAGGTTCATGCATACTCCCTCAAAGCATCATCATGGAGCTGCAAAACGAATTCTTCGATATGTAGCAGGAACTGTGGATTGGGAATATGGTTTGAGCAGGTGAAACAATGTAACCTTATTGGGTACACTGATAGTGATTGGGAAAGATGCATGGAAGATCGTAGAAGCACTACATGGTATGTATTCAACCTTGGATCTGGTGTGGTTTCATGGAGTTCAAAAAAACAGGCCACTGTTGCACTATCATCTTCATAAGCTGAGTTTATGGCAGCAACTGCAACATGTCAAGCAATTTGGCCAAAAGGAATATTTGCATAAGGGCACATTTTGTTAGAGACTTGGTTGCTGAAGGAAAGATAAGTCTTCAATATTGTAGCACTGAAGAACAAATTGCAAATATCCTCACAAAACCTTGCAAGAAACAGCCATGAGCACTTGAGGAATTTGCTTGGTGTGCGTAATTTTGGATCAAGGGGTAGTGTTGAGGATTGACCCAAAACTGATAATTGTCTGAATCTTCCACTAATCCACTAGTATGTTCCTATTTTTATTTGTCATTTACTTGGTTTTTATTTTTTTTCTTTTTTTGTTACAGCATAAAATGGGAGTAGCAGAGATGAGGATGTTAAGGTGGATGAGTGGTTATACGAGGATGGATAAGATGCGAAATGAAGATATTCGACGAAAGGTAGGAGTACTGCCGGTGCCTGAAAAGATGAGAGAACATAGACTGAAGTGGTTTGGGCACGTTATGAGAAGGCCCCCTGGATGCTCCCGTAAGAACAAAAGTTTGTTACCAAGAGCTCAACACAAAGAAAGGTAGAGGTAGATCGAAACTTAATTGAGAGAAGGTAGTAAAACAAGACTTAATGGATTGGGATATAGATTGGCAGACGATGTGCCTTAGAACGAAATGGAGAAAATCTATATGCATGGTGGAGGGTTAGACCTGGTGTTATTCCTATGCTCCAGATGATCCCTTTTTAGTCCTTTTTCCTCTTCATCTCCCCCCTCTCTTCTTTTCCCCTTCTCTTATCACTTTTATATTTATATTTATATATATTTTTATATATATATTATTACTATTTTATTTATTTTTATTTTTATTTTTATTTTTATCTTTTTTCAACCCTTTCGTATCCTTTATTTGAGTTCATCTACCACCGACCCCAATTAATATGGGATAAAGGTGTTGTTGATGTTGATATGCACGTTGTATGCAGTTATGAGTGCAGTTAGATTCCACTTTCATAGTAAGTGGCAGCTGCACCCACGTTAAGATCCACTCTCAGATTAGCTTGGAGTTGGTTTATCTTTCAGTTATGTAGAAGGCCTACTTAAAGGCTCTTTTCTTTTCTTCTTTTTTTGGGATACCAACCCTAATTCCCTCTTTGAGGCAATTAGGATTAACCTCGAGTGCAGGACAGGTCAGGGATTAAGATTTTATACCCCTCCCAAGAGTGGTATTGGTGGGGATCGAACCGAGGTCCTTCCACCACCTATCAGCTCTATTTGTATTTTTAATGAAGTGTGGCGGAGTAATTTTTCATCTCTGTTTTATTGTCATCGTTATTTTCTCCTCATTTCTTACATGATATCCATTGTCCAATTCCATATTAGTTATAACAATTTAAGTATCAGACAAAACACACCTACTCTAGTATGCAGCTCACTCACAACATAACACTCATGTTACAGCATACTTAAAGCAATGGAAATGGATACACATTTCTTTCTTTCTTTCCCTTTTTTACTTGTTATGTTAATCCAAACAATAATACCCAGAAGACAAATCATGCTCAAAACAAAAGTCACACACACAACAACACCCCAAACCAAAAAAGAAACACCTTGTCTTGTACGCAGCTCACTCACAACATAACACTCATGTTATAGCATACTTAAAGCCAATGGATATGAAGATGAATTTTTTATTTTTTATTTTATTAAATTGTCATGTTGATCCGAACACTAATACCCAGAAGAGAAATGATGCTCAAAACAAAACCCACGAACCTTTCACTTCCTCATTTTATTTTGCACAAAAGGAGGAAACTTTTGTTTGCTATGTCAAACACCCAGAAGAGAAATTAAATTATGCTCAAAACCCAGAACCTTTTCTACTACTACCCATTCCATTTTTGCACAAAACCTGAAATTAAACACACAAATCCAAGAAAATAAAAATAAAAAGAAAAGGAAATGAATTACCTTGGTGGTATTGGTATTGGTATTGGTGTGTTGAAGGGAAGCCATGGAAAGAGCAATGATCTCAGAGGCATTACCCCTAATAACAGAAGGTTTGAAGCGAAGAAGCTCAACGCAAGCGTTGAAACGGAAATCAGAGACAGAAAGAGCAACTGGGTCGAGAATCCATGGTGTATCCAAGTTGGAGCAAAGTTCAGCAGCAGCATTCATAGCTGGTAACAAAGAAGGTGAAAGAGTGCCAATATTAATACACAAAGCTCGTGCGTGAGGTGTGAAATCAGGGATCTCCTGCAGAGAGTGCACCATAGCAGGTGATGCACCCGCAGATAAGAGTGTGTTGGCCATAAGGTCCATGGATACAAAGTTTGTTATGCACTGAATCAATGGAGATTCCATTCGAATTAGGGATAGCAGTTCCCATGCCTTTCTTCCCCACTCAACTTGCTTCTCTGCTTCCATCAACACACACAAAACAAAACCCAACAATTAATATATATTTAATTCAATTAATAGCAGTGTTTCGAAATAAATACTTGTATGTTAGAAAATCTCACTATTTATCCTTCACAAGTCAACTGTTTGACGAGAGAAAATGAAAATGAAAATAAAAATAATTTTAACTGTTAGATTTAAGATTTTTTAGTAACTGTCGTTAGGGGTGTCAATATGAGTTTTGACACGCGGGTCGACCCGCGACACGACACGAAAATTCGTGTTTAGGTTGACCCGTAAAAAAATTCGTGTCGTGTTCGTGTTGGAAAAAATGACACGCAAAAAATTCGTGTCGTGTTCGTGTTTATGAATTTGTGTTCGTGTCGACTCGTATTATTTTTAATTTTTATTTTTTTATTTTTTTATTTTTATTTTTTATTTTTTTCTTTATTTTCGATCTATGTTTTAAATTTTTTTTGTCAATTACCGTTTTGTCCCCTATTTTGCGTGTTATTCGTGTCAACCCGCAAAAAATTCGTGTCGTGTCAGTGTTGAAGATTTTGACACGAATGAAAATTCGTGTCGTGTTCGTGTTGATGTATTCGTGTCGTGTCGAATTCGTGTCGTGTCAACCCATATTGACACCCCTAACTGTCGTGTTAAGAAAGATAAAGATTTATTCCTATTTCCTACCCTTTAAAAATAAATTATTACAAGACTAAAACCAAAAAAAAAAAAAAAAAAAACTAAGCTAGTTTGGATAAATTTTTGAAAGAAAAAAAATAATAATGATATTTTTTTAAAGTTAAAATTATTTTTTATATTTGGATAAAGTATATAAAAGATATTTTTAAGTAAAATCAAAATAATTAGGATGCTAAAATTAATAAGAATATATATATATATATATATATATATATATATATATATATTATGATCACAAGTTACGCTTTTAATCTTAATAATTAATTTTATTTATATCTAATAACTCTGATTTATTAGGTATAAGAATAATTAGATCCAAAAATCAAATTCAATGTACGACTTCTTGTTCTTATATCCATACGAATAAAAAGTTTTACCATTGTTACTCCTCTTGTATCTAATAACTCCCATATTTAATAAATTAGAATAATCAAACCCATATAAATATGAGCATTATTTCTATTTTATTCGAATAGATAAATGTAGCCTTTTCAAATTTTTTGGCTCCCATTATTTTGCACCATCAATGCTACTAGTTTTATCTGTCAAGAATAGTGTGTCAACCTTGGGATTAGGGTTGGCAAAATGAGTCAACTTGGTTTAATCCGGCTCAATATGCAACTCAAAAAAAAAACAAGTCGGGTTAGGGTTGGCTCAAAAATATGACTCGTGGGTTGACTTGAAAAAATAGCTCGCGAGTTGGCTCGAAAATTGGCTCACAGGTTGGCTCAAAAATTGCTCACGAGTTAGCTAGTTTTCAGCCTATTTAAATAAACCTGTAGTATTAATGCACCAGCTATGTGACTTCCATCAGCTTAAACAAAGGGTTACAAAATGAGAAATAAAAGTAAAATATTCTAATTTCGAATTTTCGTCACAACAAATTTGTACCAACATCTTGAAACAATCAGAACCACTTGTACCAAGTGGGTAATATATTTGAACCAAACAGAGCCAGCACAGCCTAACAATATAAAAATGGCAAGATGTGTGAAGATTAGGGACTTACGTTTAGAGAAGAAAGAAAGATGATGACAGCTTGTGTGAGTTTTGTCCCTTTGTACATTATAATTGTATTTTTTTTATTTAAAAAAAACTCAACCCGCGAGTTGGCCCATTTGACTCGCAGGTCGAGTTAGCTCGGATTGACAATTCATTTTTGTCAACCCAACTCGACTCATTTTTGGCGGATTACAAACCAACTCGATGGATTTACTCGTTTTTGCCAACACTAAGCATTGTTAAATTGTTTTAGGGTTTATCGTCTATCATTTAACATGACCACAAAAAGTTTCCTACACACACAACATTTTGTGAGGCCCGCAACAACAAAAAAAAAAAAAACTTCAGCACGCAAAACGAATCTCTATAACATAACACAATCACTTTTCTGTTAGGATAACGGATCCTAAAATGGCATAACAGAAATGGAACAAGATAAAGGAGAAGAAATTCAGAGAAAAACGAAAAGAAAATGTTTCTATATATTCAAGATAAACTTCTCAATGACCCTATCAGGCATTTATGCCACGTTTACTAACAAACTCCAACAGAATGACACGTCAGTCCATGACTTACACTACCAGCAACACACAGCAACACAATTGCCACTATTTGGGCATATCAGCTATTAACATGGTTCACTACTAACAACAGTTTACTACTAACAATAGTTTACTACTAACAACAGTTAACCCACTAATATTAAATTGCTACCCTTACTACTACCTTTTCTCCTATACTGATGTCGTAACATTGCCTTCCCCTAAAAAATGGACCTTGTCCTCAAGGTCCTATGAAAAAAAATAGGAACAGCTACCAGTTATGTACTTCTTTCTGAACTTGTGCATCATCAAGCATGACAAACTCACCACAATAAGTCTTTTCCCACTCAACAGTTTGGGAAACCAAGTTGAATGGCATATCTTTGATATCTGATGTGGAAGAGTTTCCAATATATTGGGAATCTAAGAACTGAGCTTGCGGTTGAGTATGTTCTTCATTTCTATCTCTTCTGAGTGAACTATTATCATCTGATGCACATGAGGTTCTTGTTGACTTAGAATTTAAGAAAGGAGCTTGCAAGTCATTATGGTCTTCATTTCTGTCTTGCTCAAATGAACTAATATCTTCAGATGTCAAGGAGTCCCCAAATAATTGAAAAGCAGAAAATCGAGTTTGCAGCTGATGTTCTTCTTTGCCATTTGAAGCAGTTACCTTTTGAATATTCACTAGTTCTTCTTTACACTCATTGTCTATTTCCAATTCTAACTCCATGGTAGCTAAAGCATCCACATATTCATCAACCTCACTAGTCATATCATCAGAATGGTAGCCATATAAGCGGCAAACTATTTTCTTTGGCTCATCACCCTCCAATTTGGTGTTACCAGGTACCTTGGGATGATTAGAAAACATTTCATATGTCACACCAGCAGAGATCTGTCCATGCACCTTCACAAGATATCCATTTAGCTCCCTATCTGTTTCTAAGTATGGTTTTAGCTCCAATTCCTGCTCATTTGGTGATAAACAAGGTCTTTCAACAAAACCAATGGACTGCATATTCTTACGAGTCAAAGAAACACTTGTACCACTTTGTATCATCATATCTGACCAAAAGCAAGCCAGGTAATTCATGATAGCCATCACAAACCATGCTGCATGCCTGAGATCCAAATGATTCACTGAGTTGAAGTATATGGGCATCCAAGAAAGAACATTAAAAAATCCCCAACTATGCATGGAATTTACAACAATTAGAGGAATTGGAAGCTTTGAAAGCAAGCGCCTAACTGGAGGGATCAATTTAACTTTCTTAAGTTTAACTGTCTCCACTGAAAAAGACTTATGCCTTCTATTCAATATATACTCCAGCTCATATTTTGATATCTTAGGACTTCCGTCAGGAGTGCTTGATGTTGCAGACAACCACACCAACACCAAAAGAAACCCAGATAATCCAAAAATCACAAATGGACCAAATATACCACCTTGAGACATAAAAATAGGAGAAAGCATAAGCCCTATCACGCATCCAAGCTGAAATCCAGCCATTAAACTTCCAACAGCCTTTGCCCTTTCAGTTTGAGGAAACCATCTGGCTACCATGTTATTCATGGAAGGAAGAGCTACTCCTTCGGCCATGCCAAGCAAAGCACACACGGAAAACAGAGCCAAAATTAAGGTCTTTGCAGCCCAGGGAGTGAGAAAAGTAGCCAATGACCACAAGGCCACACCCCAAGCCATAACCACTTTGCCATCATAGTTATCCACTAACACCCCTTCAACAATAGGATAAACCAGATACCCCCCACAGAAAAGATGACTGCACCATAACCATCAGACCACCAACTCCTAGTGCTATATCAAGAGCAAAAGAATCAGTTGACACCACAGGTACATTTGCTTCATCAACAACCCTTAATTTTGACAAAAGTCGATTTTCAACTAACTCCGGGAAGGTCCAATGAGAAAAGCGAACTAGAAATCCTCCGGGGTCCCAAGAGAACAAAGGATCAAATATCAACATGAACCAAGACCTTCTATTTAGGCTAGGCATTTCATTGAACACATGTCTTGCAGTTACCATAACACCAGAAACAGCAATCTCAATGAAAGTTTGAACAGAGTCAACTTTGTGTGCATCGACACCAATTTTATTTATACGTCTCAACTGCCTACACTTCTTCTGATGAAGTGAGAGCAATTTCTCCTTAACCTTGACTTCATAATACAGCTTCTTCTGCCACATACACAGCTTCTTCTGCCACATACACAGCTTCTTCAGAGTGGAGCGAAGATTCGTGTAGCTGAGGCCCTTATCTTTATAAACTCCTTGATACCCAGAATGCATTTTTGGTCCACGAAATAAAGATTTCATGCATTTAGTTGACAAAGGATTTGAGTGAATTGACGGAGGAATCACCTTCGCATAGTTGTTGTCGCATTCCTCTAACTTCGGTGGCCCTTTCTCTGAAATGCCCTCGTCGAAGGTCAATTGTGGCAGATCCACCAAATCAAGCGAGTTGACAGCATCAACAGACACCTTCTTGGGAGCATGGTTGATTTTCTCGAAGCAACTTTGCAGCACCACATTTTTCCCCGAACAATTTTCTCCTCCTAAGATTGCCGCGTTCTTGGGAGCATGGTGCAGAGCTCTTTGATCCAACGAAGATTGTGTTGCGCTTGCTGTCAAAGCATCAGTACCCAGAATTGCAGTGTGAATTCGCTGCAACAGATTATTAATATTGGAGAACAAAGCTCGATCTTCAACGAGACATGTTAGGATAGCGGGTCCTAAAATGGCATAACAGAAATGGAACAAGATAAAG